ACTAATACTATATAGAACTTAATATAAACATAAATTAATAAATTTAACCAAAAATTATCAAAAGAGTGTACGAAACAAATTTAAAGTCTAAACACCAAAATAACAATTTATTGATATATTAAAAATAATAATTAGAGTTTGATTTTTTGGTGTAGTAAAATAATAATTTAATATTTTTAATTATTTATTAAAAAAATATATTATTAATTTTTTATTATCTATTAGTAAGTTAGTAAATTTTTGAATGAAATATTTTTTTAAGATAACTATTGAAAAGTTATAAAAAAATTTACGAATTGTTCGCGAACTTATCGAGTGGAGTCAGATTTCGCTCGACTCAGCTCGTTAAGGTCTCGAATTGAGCTTGAGTTCGACTCGAGTCAACCTGAATCGAGCTTTTACGGAGTTTTGATCGAATCGAATTCGAGCTGATCACGAGTTACTCAATTCATTAAGCATCCCTATTGGATATAATATTATACTTATTATTTATATATTTAGGTCCTCTTTTACCTAATAAAAGTGAATTATATATATATATATATATATATATATATGTCAAGTAAGTGTAGGTTTTAAAATAATATATCATTTTTAAGTTCGAGTTGAGTGTGTATAACTTCAATTTTTTAATTGAGTTCGGGTAGGTTAAAAATTTGATCCAACCCAACTTATTACCATCCTATACATGAATTCGATATCGTTAATTTGGACATTAACCCTAAATCCGAATCAAATCAAAATCTATTGGATTCAGAAAATTGCTATTAATAAAAGTGTTAAATATTAAATACAATAAGAATCTAATTAAAAATAAAATAAGATACAATTATCTCTAAATATATGTGAGATAATTATAATATTACGTTAGTCCGATTGAATTAAAATTTTCACTTTAAATTCAAACCTAATTCGATTGGCTCCATTTTTAAAAAATCCGACTAAACTCGAACCCGAATAAAAATGATAATTGAGAATGAGTCACTGACTTATGGTGTATTTTATCCGATATTATTTTTTAATATTCCAAAAATATACCATCTGTCCCCAACGCAATACTCATCGAGAGAGAACTTGAGAAAGGCTAAACTCAACCACAGTTATAATTCCAACCATAGTTAATCGACCATTGTCAAGGGAAGAACAAAAATACTAAACAAATGAACGGTCCAGATTAATCCACCGGACAGATCCAGCCGCTCCCCTGAGAACCGAGATTAAGCTTGATTATTTCCTTGCTCAGCTAAATTACGATTCGTAGGAATTGTTCTCCTCACAGATTCGATAAGATCTAAAGAAAATTTAGGGTTTCTGTTTAGCTGGAGATGGAGATGGAGATGGATTATGTTACCGAGTTTCCTCATATTCACATGGATCGACGTCCCATGAAGAGGCCTAGATTAGCTTGGGGTTTTAATCAACCTCAGCAAAAGGTAGCTTTTTTTTAGCTTATTATCTTTTTCAATGTTTTGGAAGGTTAATTTACTGTCTGCTCCGTTAAATTCCCTGCTGGTTTGATCTGATCATTAGCTTAACTATGCGAGATTTTCGCAGAAAGGTGAATCTTTCATCTTTTGGGAGGTTATTTTTTTTGTTTTTTCAATTGGTTTTCTGGGTAAATTGATGATTCTTTTCAATTACTGTGTGGGGATTGTGATAACATTGAGGAATATTAGAAGTTTTCTGTTAACTTTTTGATCCTTTTGATTTTATGCTGTAATATTCATTTTTTTGTATCTCTATTATTATTGTTAGTGTTGATTATCTGAAACTTTATTTCACATGAAAGTTTGTTAACTTGAGCCTGCCGGGAGATTTGTTGCTCATGGTGAGACATCAAAGTAGGAAATTTGATGGAAAGGGGTGATAAGTTTTTGAATTACTATTTATTTTGTGGAGTGTGAATGGAATGGCTGTGTGTAGGCTCAGTCATGGGTGTATAATGGACAAGATGTTGGAAATTTGACGAGCTTTGGGCCTTCAAGGGCTCACCCAGACCACACTTCTCTCTTTGAAAAGGGATTAGATCAAACAGTCTCTCCCCCATGGCGAGATGATGACAAAGATGGGCATTACATGTTTGCACTTGGAGAAAATTTAACTTCTCGCTGTAATTACATTCACCTATTGAAGAGCTTAATTCCGCATTTTGTTGTGTTCTATGGGACTGTTTTATGATCTATTAGAGACTAGATGATATATCTGAATATAAACATTGTAGTATTGCCTCTCTTTCTTTTTGCCATTTTTCTTGATTTTTACTTCCTGAAGGTTTTTTTTTTGATTGATTTTAGAGATTAGCCCAGCAATGAAATTTCATATTGGTTTACAGTTCTATTTTTAAGGATGCTTAAATCTCTTTTATTTCATCGTGCCATAAATTTTTGGAGTAGCTGGACTCTTTTTAGAAACTACCTTCCTAATATGGAGAAAGTCGATTTTTAAACAGCACTAGTTCATTTTCTTTGCTGTTGCTTTTTTGTTCTATTCCACCTCCTCAAACTAATTCTCATTTTTAGAAGGAAAGAAAGGAGGGGGGAAATCTCTTCCCGATCCATGTACCTTCAGAATCTATCTGTGTTTTAGAAACCCAACATTATTACTTCCCTTCTACCGTCAAACTGTTTTTAACAAGATATATATCAACTTATTTTATGTGCACTACTATTGTTTCTTCCCAAAATCGAACCTTTTCTTACAGCTTATGGTTTTTGTTTTTGCAGACAAGATCTACCGAAAAGTTGGTGAAGGTAGTTTTTTACTTCATATCTTGTTATATTTGTTCTGTTGATATCTTTGTTAATGTCATTCACGGGCGGCTATTCATTTTTTTTATTCTACAGGAACCTTTGGTCAGGTTCTGGAATGCTGGGACAGGGAAACTAAAGAGATGGTTGCCATCAAAGTTGTTTGAAGTATCAAGAAATACAGGGAAGCAGCAATGATGGAACTTGAGGTACTTCAGTATCTTGGTAAACATGACAGGAATGGTGGTCGGTGAGTGTTAAATAATTATCTCCATTTTGTCTTGGCTTTTATGTTACCTTTGTCTCATTGGTTGAACGGACTTATCTTTTGCAGCTGTTTTCAATTACTCAACTGGTTTGATTATCGCAATCATATCTGCATTGTAAGTGTACCATCTAATCACAGTCTTCTTGCAACATTTTGAATAGTTTAGGAGTTAAGACTTGTATGTGGATTTAAATGTACTCCACAGGTATTTGAGATGCTTGGACCGAGCTTATACGATTTTCTTCAGAAAAATAATTATTGCCCCTTTCCGGTTGACCTTGTCCGGGAACTAGGCAGACAACTTTTGGAATGTGTAGCATGTGTGTAGATATTACTCCTGCCATCTCTCCTTTTCTTTTCAAAGTTGGTGGAAAGTAGCAACGGTTTTCTTGAGTTGCACATTCCGTGTTTTGCAATGAGAGAATTAGTTGCTGCTCCATTTTGGCACTTCTTTATTATTATTCATTCATTTATACATTTGGTAGTTTATAGCTTTATCTGTTATTACTTTATATGCGGACATTTATTTCCCTTGACGTAAGATGCACACTGTTTAGGTTAAGACTACTTTTTAAATAGTAATAATTGCTTTCATCCGATTCTTATTTGCTTATGTATGTTAATGCAGTTATACATGATTTACGCCTCATCCATACTGACTTGAAGCCCGAGAATGTACTCTTTGTTTCTCCAGAATATGTGAAAATACCTGACGAGGTATATTCAGTGATCTTTGCCATTTTTTATTTCCCCGTTGATAATTTTTTATGTTGACAACACAATCTTTGTCTTTGGCAATCAATTGCTTCTTCCTACCAAGGACGGGAGGTGTATGATGTTTATATCTAACAATCGTACTCTGTTATTTTCTTTGCTTAATCTATTGCAACAGGTTATGACCTGTTCGGCAATAAGGGAAACATGCTACAGTAGGTTACCAAAATCAAATGCCATCAAGGTTATTGATTTGGGTAGTGCAGCATATGAACATCAAGATCACAATTACATCGTCTCCACGAGGCACTATCGAGCACCTGAGGTTATTCTTGGTACGCTGGCATTATCCTTTTCACTGCCCTCGTGTTATCCATCTGTAAGACATTGTGTGAGCTTATCTATCTTTTCAGGATTAGGATGGAGTTACCCATGTGACATGTGGAGTGTCGGTTGTATCTTGGTGGAACTTTGCTCGGTACGTTTATTGTTTAAAAGTATATTATTGAGAATTCCATTCTAGATGGCAAGGAATGGCCCTAATATTGTCGTATACAGGGAGAAGCCTTGTTTCAAACACATGAGAACTTGGAGCACCTAGCAATGATGGAGAGGGTTTTGGGTCCTTTGCCCCAGCACATGTTGAAAACAGCGGAGTATGCACTCTTTTGGATATATATATATATATATGTATATATAACATTCTCATCCATAAAAAATATATATAACATTCTTATGGGTGATGCAAAATTTTATATTGTTTTTCTTATTAACTTAATGTGCAGTCGACATGCGGAGAAATATGTCAAGAAAGGTAAGCTGGATTGGCCAGCGGCTGCTACCTCTACAGAAAGCATTAAAGCTGTTCTAATAGTGCCTGCTAATAGTGCCTGCTAAGCATGTATATTGATGGTAGGCTTAGGCAAGAGGGGCTTGCTGTTGGCGATTGAAAATACTAAAACTCTTCTTATTGTAAGGGAAGACCTACACATGAACATATATGAAAAAAAGTTACTTCATTGACTTAAACGCATCATTAACTTTTCATTTTGTTTCGAGATACCTCTAAAAATTTTTTCGTCTTTGAAATTTACTTTATTCGCTCAAAAAAGTCAACTTTGTTAAAAAGAATTGATAACCAATCAAAATATGCCACATCATTACCTAATTTTTGCTTATTTAAATGCAACATTATTTCTTAGATTACGTTATTTTACGTTAATTGTGTAGATTATAATTTTACGTTAATTCTGTTAAAAATAATAAAAAACACGTCTCGTCACCACATTTAGTTGCTCTCAATCTTTCAGAGGTTAAAAAACAGTTCAGGAAATACACTTAAACCTGATGCTGGTGCTATTAATCAGATCCCATTCTGTGCTCTTAAGAAGCCCACAGTGGGGCCAAGGGCACTGCGTCTCAGGGCCCTATACGACCAGCCACTCCTCCCCGAGCTATCTGCTCGACTCCAACAGTCGTCTTTAGACAGCTCCGCCTTCTTTGCACTCAAGGCCTCGTTAATTTCGTCCCACACATTTACTGCACCATTAGCTGCTAAAGTACATGAAAACTTTACCCGAGTTGCAAATCCAAATAACCTGATATTTAACACGCTGTGCTTTATCCGTACCTTGTGCAGTAGGTGCGGCTGATACAATGGCTGCTTCCTTGCTACCATTTGGCTGTCTTGTTAAAACATCCCGATCCTGCACATGATTGTCATTGCTGACATCGGCAATTGTTTTTGTGGTATTTTGATTGCCATGCTTGACAAGGCGGACGTCAACTAGAGAGGAATAATCTATCTGAGAAAAGAAAAAGAAAAAAAAAGGCTACATTTGTAAGCTTCCTGCACTCTGGAAGAAAGCATAAAGGCAACAAGAATAAAACAGCAGCTGGGACACAACAGCCCTAGAGCATAATTTTTGCAATGAACCTTAATTACAGATACGTGGATCCTAAGATATCATGATTCCATTTATGATACTCAACGGCAATTACAGACATTCCCGGTCCTTTAACCAACCTACTTCACAGGCAGAGGAAAACAAAGGGATCCCTCATCAAATGAGGAATGTATAGTTCCAGTTACATACCTCTAATGACCCATCTTCTCCGTAAAGAGATGTATCTGGTAGCTCAGAAGCCTCCTGATCTATTGTCTCTTCAGAAGCAATTGGATATCCTGGCACCGGTATCAGCTTAATCATGTTGGATTCAGCATCATAATGTGATATTTCTCCAATCTATGAGCAGAATTAAGTAAATAAAAAATTCAATGCCAATAAGATTGGGAACTATAAAATAACTAGAGTTAGATAAGAGCATTACTCGGAAGGAGCAAAGCTCAGGGGTCCAAGTTGATGATAGCTCAATTAGGCGATATGCAACTAAATCTCCCTCCTGCATTTAAATATATATAACGAAAAAATATTGCTTCTATCTCTGAAGAATATTAATACAAAATAAATATATGGTAAAACAAAATATACCTTAGGCGAGATAGAATAGGGCGTAAGCTTGTCAAAGTCCATGTCATCAGTTACAGTGGCGTTTTTGTTATCATCCATCATTTCAGAACTCACTTGACTAAAACTGTTATCATTCCTTTTCGAACAAGGAGTTTTCTCCATACCCCATTTTTGACCCTTCTTCTTGCTGGTTATTCCATTCCATTGAAAGATTTTCTGGCCATGACCAAACAACAAATTTGACATCAATGAAAACATCACAGCCATCTGAATAAGAAGACTTGAAGGAAAATGACAGTGCATCTACAAATAGATGAACCAGATTAAGCAATATCTAAAATAATGGTTGTGAGAACAACTATACACTTTTAGGAAAAAGAAGGGAATGCTAAATTAGTTCTATTTCCCTCTTTTTCAAGTAAACTGTGCACCTGAGAATAAAGGAAAATGTTACGCGGATATATTCAAGATAAGATAACCATCTAATGGAAATAATCTCTGTGCCACCATCACTCTGTCCCCTGATTCCACTGGACAGTACATCTCCTCAAAGCAATTTCACAACAACAACAAAAAGAGGAGCTATGGTGAAATTCACAAACTATAAAAAGAAATACCAATAAAACATACCACTGGAATTTGACTTTGTTGGACAGCTTGTTCTGCATCTTCTGGAAAACAATACATGTCAGAACATTGGAAAGTGGAAACCATTTCTCAAGCTTTATGTTGTAATTCCAGAATGTAAATCGCTTATATCACCCAACTAAGCCTCAAAAACTAGAAAGATATGGAACCAATACCTTCTTCCAGGGGCTCAAAGCGAATGTGTCCTGCCCTAACTACTATTGGAACCACGTTATCCTCGACATCATTATTGCTAATTGGTTGTCGATGCTCTTCTGAAAATTTGAGGTTCTCTTTTGCAGGTGATTGCTGATCGTCTTTTTCATGCATCTGTTTTGATTGCAGCTACAAATCAGATCGAACATAGTTATCATCATAGTCAATGATGTAGGAGTTTCTTTTTTCTAAAGGCATACAGGTATGGACAATCAAACCATACAAATGCTTTATTACTTTACAAAATTTATTGCTTACCAAACAGGGAAAGAAATATTGCATACAAATGTCTGCATGCATTCATATACGAGAATATGTAAGCTGTAACTTTTAATTTTCACCTTAGTATAAATGAAAAATCACACCAACTCTGAATTACATCCATGTCTAGTTTGCTCATAAGCATATAAATCCAAAACAAGAAAAAAAGTATATTACTTGGCCATCTATCTATGGTAAACAAGAAAATTTCTGAATCATTAACTTGAATCATTCGTGTGTAGGCATTATTTCTCTATTGCTAGAACTGCTTGTCTAAAGATCAAAAAAGGCCCAAAATAACTTTACAATATTTCTAAAGACTAAATTACCTTTTCCTTTTCAAATTTGGCCTGCTCCCTCAACCATCGCCTTTTAGCCTTTTTGCGCCGTGCACTTCTACTAGGGAGCTGGACAGTAAGAATTTTTTTTTTTTTGATAAGATTTTCAGGCCTCGTTAAAAACCCCCTTCTTGATTAATAGAGCTTGTAGAGAAGCTCCTTAATCAGCGGAAGGAGGAAAAGAGTGCCTTAGGATTTTATTGAACAATAAAATTACATAAGATACAACCAACAATACAACCGACAAAACCACCCCAATAGAACCAAATAAGCTGGAAACACCCATAAAACACCCTAACTAAAAACACAAAATCAGCGAAAACAACACTAGTAATCCCCTTACAAAACACATAAAATCCAGACACCACCCTAAACAGCCATCAACAACTTTACTGACTCAGCCTATGCCTTCTTTAGCTAAGGCATCAACCTATAAATTGGATGTCCTACTAACCCATCTAACAACACCTTCAAAGGCCTTAAACCTATGAGCAATATCTTTAATCAAGAAGGCATATACAACAGGACATAATTCATCCCCCTTAATCCAATCCACAACCACCTTACTATCACTCTCTATAATCAGACGGTCCTTGATCCTCTGTCGATAGTTTGCAAAGAAAGACAACCCCATAAGAATAGCCTTTAACTCCATCAACGTAGGAGGTCCCGGACCAGCAGTTTCCTTGAAATAGCCTATAGTAGAACCTGAGGAATCTTTTAGAACTCCTCCTAACCCGCTTTTCTTCCAATCCCTTGTAGTGGCATCATCAACGTTTAATTTAACAAAACCCAAAGGAGGAGGAGACCAAAGTAAAGTAGGAGAAATCTGAGTAGAGCGAAGAGAAAACAAGTCCCCAAGAGAAGGATCGGAAATGAGTGAGTCCTTAGGAATAGACACATCTTTATACTTTGCTAAGAACCAAGAAGCAAGCCTAAACCTTGCTAAAAAGAATAATTCTGCCTTATCAAACTTCCCCCCTTCAAACACCACAAAATTCCTCATTTTCCAAGTGGTCCACAGAACGACCCCTGGAATAAAAGGCCAAATCAAAGAGTTAGACTTTAAACCATCCCAAGCTAGAAAGAAACTTTTAGCGTCCGCTGGTAAAACAGAACAAATCCTCCAAAAACTTTAAAACTTATTCCAAAGGGACCACACCATCGAACAAGAGAAAAACAAATGAGAGGGAGACTCATCCGACATCTTGCATAGGGGACAGAACACATCTTCAATTCCTTGAACACCTCTTTTGACAAGTTCAGTCCTAACAGCCAGCTTCCCATGAGCGATCTGCTAAAGAAAACACTCTACTCTTGGAGGTAGTAGACCTCTCCAAATGATCTTCTTCCAGAAAAAGACCTCCTCCGATCCCAAAGTCTCCAATGAACCTAGATTAACAACTAATCTAACAGTAAAAACCGCATCTCCAGTACCTTTCCAGATCACACGATCAGGAAATTCCGAAGAGAGTGGAAATTTTGTAATGATAGCTAACAAGTTAGACTATTGTTCAAGTTCCCAGTCATGAAGATTTCTTCTGAACTTGACATCCCAAGTCCAAACGGAAGAGATATACTCCCCAAATTCAGATAATTTCCCAAACTGATTTAAGGAAATAGAAAATAGTCTCGGAAAAATGACATCAAGTGGATGATCCATAAGCCCAAATATCTTGCCAAAACCGAATATTTTTACCATCACCAACATGAAAACTACTCATGCTTCTAAACTTAGTGCCAAAGAAATCTTCTTTAAAATAATTATTTCGCAGTGATCTCCAAATCCAGGATACCTTAGGTGGAAGCTTACTGTCCATAGTTAAAACTGAAGAATCGAGTCTATATTTGGCACAAACAACTTCCCTCCAAACTGAGTCCCTATCATTTGCAAACCTCCAAGTCCATTTCCCCAAAAGTGCTCTATTCATCAAGTTAAGATTAAGATTAAGAAATTAAACAGAAGGATTGATTGTGTTAGAATTGGAATAGGGATAGAGCAATAGGCTAGCAAGATCGGTTGACAAAACTGAAAATTATGATATTATCAAGCAATTAAGAAAGTAAAATTCTAAATTCTGAGCAAGGAACATTAATCATCAACATCTAACAATGTTATGTAGCATGAATGTGTGCATTAGGTAACTGCATGGCCTGGGTTTATTGCTCCTGCTAACAATCGTTCTGACTCTTCATGGAAAAAACAAACTTCATAAACCATTTTTCTAAAAGATATGATACCATCTCAGGGCATTGATGAATCTAACTAGAAAATACTAATTTATTCCATTCAAAACAATGGTGTCAATGATAACCTTTTTAACATCAGTAGTTGTCATAGGTTCATCGTCGCTCCCTTTACTAGTATTTTGAGGATGGGGGGACCTGTAAAACAGAATCAAGTGAATGAAAAAAAAAACCCTTCCACAATGCAGTAAGAGAAGCAGTGAAAAGGAATAAAAATTCCGATACGAGCATAGGAAGGGTATATCAAATTGGGTTTATTACACACAAACATTTTGGACAAAAGGTGAACCAAAACCAAAATGAGTGATATAAAAATAATAGAACTCCAAACAATATTTTAACTACATTATCAAGATAGATAATACCTCCCCAAATTGGTTTGATCGTCACTACTTTCATCAATATTCAGGCCACTTGTATTCTCTGGTTCTCCCTGTATGTCAATTGGCTTGTCCTTCTCAACAACCTTGTCATTTGAAATAACCTTTTGTTTATGAGATCTTTTCCTTTTCTTCGGACAAATATCAATTCCATCATCTCCGGAAACCGGAGATTTCTCAGAACCAACCAATTTGCTTTTCTTCTTCCTGAAAATAAATTTAGCATAAAGTCAAAACTAAAAACTATAAGCAATTATTAGAGCAGGTATCTAACAAACCAAGTAAAAGAGGAAGTTTAGTGAGATTGTATAAAGTAATTTACCTCGAGCTTGGAAGTTTATCCCGACCCTTCCTTTTCTTAGAAAACATGTTTTCGATTGGTGTGCTTTCAACTTGTGCCTGATTCTCCAATGGCACAAGTTCTCGTTCATCTTCTTCCGATTCACTTTCATATCCACCGGTTTCCTTATCAAATTCCTCATTAGCTAGAAGCTTGCCGCCTGTTTTCACAGCCAATTTTTCTACAAATTCCAATTCTTCCAAAAGGTTGAAATCATTAACACACTCGATAATCTCAGTCGATTTCCTTCCTTTCTTCTTCACACTATTTTCACAACAAACAAAAAATAACTATACAAGAGAAAGCATGCAAATTTACAAGAGCTAAAAAAACTAACCTGACAATATCTTTATCTTTTAAAATACAAATCGATTCGAAAGGAGGGAAAACAAAGCCATCCATCTGTAATGAAAAATTTATGGCGTCACAAAGCTATATATGAATAAATTAGGGTACGAACAGTGTGAGATGGATACAGAAACCTACGTAGAGGATGAGGCCGTTGGAGCATGATTCTCGGAGGTCGAAAATGTCGAGAAGATCGGAGGTGAGATCGGAGATGGTTTGATGTTGTGGTTTAAGGAGAAACCAGCTTCGTTTTAGGCCTTGTTTCTTCTGCGACTTGCTGAGAATGTTCGGATCCTCGAACACCAAACGGAGCCGTGCCGTCTCCATTTCCGATGATTGAGGAAATGCGCAGAGAAAGAAGAAACGTGAACTTTGCTGTTTGGCCTCCGTTTCATAAACCCTCCGCCGTGGTTTCGTGGTTTTTCTACTGTGAGTTAGCCACCGTCGAGAATGATTGACTCACGAGTTGTCTGAGTCCGCTCAAAAGGTTTTGGTTGATGGGTCACTGAGCTGGCTCGTGGATTTATTGTTTTTATTGGGCTGAAACTCAGTGTTCGAACTACGGCCCATATGGCAGAGGGTTGGTATTTGACAAAGGGATACAACTTAGTAAAATACATAAATGAACACTAAATTATGTTGAACTGATCTTTTGGGTCATTTAAGTTTAAGAAGCTAAAAATTAATGATTAAAATTTCCAAAATGATCATCTCCCTTTATCAAAATATTATAAAATGGTCCTTAAATTTTTTAAATTTTGTCACTATTTTATAATGTAAAATGATCATTTTATAATAGTTCATTTAATTTAGTGACCATTTTATAATTTCTAAAACTTAAGTGGTTAAACGATTATTTTAGTATAATTTGGTGAACAATTATAATTTTACCAAACAATTTTTTAGTCCCTAAACTTGATCAAATGAGACAAGACAGATCATAAGGTACTCGAGTTTGATTTAGTCAAAATTTGATCAATAGTCGATTCAAATGGACTCGACAAGTCAACTCGAGTAAAAACGAGTTACTTAATACCTAATTCAAAAAGTTCACAAACAACTTGAAAATTAATAATATTAAAATTTTATTTTTAAATTAAGTTATCAATAATATTAGCATTTATATGTTGCTTTTTTAATTACAATTTAAAGTTTTAATGTATTCAATATTTAGGTTCGAGTTTGAGTTCGAGCTACAACCGAACTAAGTGTAAGGATATTTTTAGTTCAAGTTTTTATTAGTTCGAGTAGAGTCTCAATTTTGATTTCAGTTTGATGTTGAGTTTGACAATTGCATTTATAGAATGCGTGTACATTGTTAATAGACTAACTTTAAAAAATAATGTATTATGATTATCTTAAGATATTTAAAAATAGGATAAACTATGCATTTAGTACATAAGTTATCAGTTTTGATCTGTTTTAATATTTAAATTTTTATTCTTTTTAAAATCATACCTAATGTGTAATTTTTGTTTCATTTTAGTACACTGCTGTTAAAAACTTAATAGACTGGCTGACGTGTCATAGCTCTGGTGGACAGACGACTAATCTGAACGATGAACCACGAGAGAATGACGAGTTGATCAACATAGTTCAGTTTTAGACCCATCAGACGGTGGACCATGGAAATTAAAAGATGAAGAAATTGAAGAGTTTATCGTCTAATTGGGAGATTGAGATGTTTCTTGGTGAAATAGAGGTCAAAGTCGCGTTCAGGGGTCAAAAAGTTACAGGTTGGAAAGTTTGGCTTTTATTAATCGATGGATGTGTCGGTCAACAATTGTAGATACGATGGTCGATGACTATAGATACGACGGTCGACGATTGTTGATACGACGATCGATGATTGTAGATACGACGGTCAACGACTATAGATATGACGATTGACGATTGTAGATATGACGGTTGACGAGCCTGCGCATTATGTTTTTAACGGCGGGTACTACTATGAAACAAAAATTAAACGTTAGGTGCAATTTAAAAAAAACTGAAAGTTTATGTTGAACAGATGGGCGTCTCCGATACTTCGAGAGACGGAGAGTATCCCGTGAACCCTCCACGCTTCGCGGTGAAACTCAACATATCCTCCCTATGTGCCACCAATGTCAACATAAACAGTTGGAATCACATCAACTACCTACCCAAATTATGTATTTTTTTGTGCAAGATATGTCACCTTGTTCTCAATTATTGTTCTTTCATCTTGTTGCTCAGCCTTATGATCTGCTGTAAAGGCTTCAGCTACTCCTCCTCTACTCAAAACAGCCCTGCAATCCCCCAAGTTTGAAACAACAACGGCATCACCTTCTATTAGTGCTGTCACACAGCAGGTGCCACTGACCATATCCTACAGTGGTAACATTCAACTCAGCAAGATTTGATAATTGTTAGCGATGTAAATAAATCGAGTTTGAATAAGTAAAATTGTGTTTATGTTTTTTTATTTTTGGAGATGTTCATGTTCGGTTTGTGTTTTTTTAAATCTTTAATATTATATTTGTGTTCGTTTATTTATCTTTAAAGATATTTATATTCGTTACTTTATTTTTATCGAACATATTCGTTTAACGTCAACAATTTTTAGAAAGATTTCTATATAAAATCATGCACACACGTAACTACGCAAACATGTTCATTTATATGATCCTAAATATATTCATTTAATGTTTACAAATATGTTCTTTATATAACCAAAAAAAATAAAATTACGCCATTAATCTTTTAACTTTTTAAATTCATAATTTGAATTTTAAAATTTGATTTAATCTCTATCTTTATTAATACATAAAATGTAAAAAAATAAAATAATAAATAATAAATAAATTTATAAATGAGTCGATAAATAATTTTTTTTAAATTACAAAACAAAAACCCACAAATTTTGCTCACTGGAAAGGCCGAAAAGGTTGAATTTTTTTCTTTTTACAAAACAAAAAAAGCCATTTACAAACAGTACCTTGTTCGAGTTCCCATGGAGACGAGAAACGATCTTGTGGGCATCTTCCATGAACTTACTCTTCCCCTTGACAGAGTAAACAGCCACACCTAACCGACTGAAGCAAAAGGCGTCGTCCCGTGGGGTAAAGTCTTTAACTTTGAGGGAGTTTGATTGGATTTCTTGTAAGACATTGGGGATCTCGATGGTCGGCGGCCTTTTCCGTTTCAGGGTACATGAAAGAATGTGTTGTTCGTGTGATTTCTCATTTGGCTGAAGTGGATCTGATGAAGGTTTATTGGTCATATTTTAGAAATAAAATTGAAGCAAACGGCTAAAGAAGAAGAAGAAGAAGAAGAACAAGAAGATGAAGAAGAAAGGGAATGCAATCTTGGATTTTCTCGATGTTTTGGGTTTTACTGCTGTTTCTCGAGCCGTTGGGGGCCTGGCGGAATGGGGGAGATTGGTCAAAAGCTTTGAGTCTTTGCTCGGTGGAGACTAGGATCGTTAATGTACGGTTAATCGTACCATTTAGTTTAAATGTTTGATTAAATGTTATAACGGTTATGAGAATTTTTTACTCGTAATCTAATCATTAAGAAACAGTTAATTGTTAATGGTTAATCGTTATTAACGTTTCAGTTACAGATTAACCTACGGTTAATCTATTACAATTATTTATCAATTTTTTTCATAATTCATACTACAAAAAATATATCACTTAACACATATTTACACCGATATAAATATTTATTTACGTAATAAAGAATTTTGTTAGGAGTATTTATTTACATTAATATTTATCTCTATTTATAAAATATGGTTTCGATATACTTTATTATTAGGATATTAATATCAATTAGAGTCAGTGTTTTATATGTACTCCTTATACTTCTAAATATGAAATTCAGAGATAATGTTGTATGCAATTCATATTGAGGTAATAATTAAGTTCTCTCTTTATCTTTATATCTCTTTTTCTTGTTATTCCTATTGCTTCATTTAGATAATTTTACGATAAATTTGATATTCTTAAGAAAGATTTGTTGGTAATGTAAAGAATCTTAGATTAGGTAAAGATTATTTCATTTAATTCGATTCGGTTCATGTGTACTTCTTTTAAATATAATCTTATCGTTAGAATACTTTATCATGATATATCTTTTTGTTATTAATTATTACAAAAATTTAAAATATTTTATGATCATTAAAATATATTTTTGATTAAATCATCAAAATAATGCTAATGATAATTAATTATCATTTAATTAATCCCGAGGTTATTTGGTTTGTACATTCTACAATAATATTAAATAAGCCATGTAATTAAAAAAAAGACATTTAAGCATATTAAAGGTAAATATGAATGAGTCTCAAATTTAGTATATAAGTTCCTTTCCAAGGTTAACAACTATCGCAATGTATTGGCATCATTTTTTTTTATCAATAATAGACTTGTTTCAATGTCGGTGATGATGTCGGTGTCGGTGTTGATGTCGGTTTCTGGTAAGAGCCATACGAGAATGATTGGACAATTTGGTACATGATAAATATCTTCATGATAAATTTAAACATTAAAAAATAATAAATAAATTATTCATCATTTGTTTTAATATTATTTGTGTTATTTTAAAATTTTATTATCTTTTAAAAATTAAAAAAAAAACTTCATTTTCTCCACGGAAGCTGCCCTCAACCTGACGTTAGGGACAATTTACCATCCTACCTCCCTCTTATCCCATTATATATGGGAATAAGGGTCACCTAAATTTTCATTTATAATAGAAAGATAATTTAGGTAATAAATGCATAGTATATTTTAAAAAGGATAAATTCTATGTTTAGTATTTAAATTATTAGTTTTAATTCGTTTTAATATCTAAACTTTTAATTTTTTTAAAAGTATGTCTAATATTTAGTTCTTGTTATGTTTTAGTACATCATCGTTAAAAACTTAACGACTGCATTTTTTATGGGTAAATTACATCATTCTTCACTCAACTATCTTCTCACTCCTATTTTGGTTCTAAAGTTTAAAAATTTCAATTTAATTAGTCAACTTTTAAATTACTCATATTTTAATCAATCTAATTTATTTTATTAATAGTTTTTGTGACATGACATTTTTTATTATTATGTTAGTAATTATAATTAAAAACAAATAAATTTGAAAATTAGAGAGATTAAATTAGAAGTAATTTGAAAGTTAATTAATTAAATAAAAAATTAAAATTTAGTGACCAAAATAAGAGAGAGAAGATAGTTGAGTGGTGAATGATACAATTAAATGATGTACTAAAATGAAATAAAAGCTAAACTTTAGATATGGTTTTGAAAATTTTGAAAGTTCAGTACTAAAATCTACTAAAATTGATAGTTTAAGTATTAATCGTGTAATTTACCTAAAAATAAGGATAAACTATGCATTTAATTCCTAAACTATCAATTTTGATCCATTATAGTACCTAAACTTTAATTTTTTCAAAACCTACCTAATGTTTAGTTTTTGTTTCATTTTAGTATTAAATCGTTAAAAACTTAACACTTTTAGGCCTAAACTATCAATTTTGATTTATTTTAGTACCTAAACTTTCAATTTTTTAAAAATTTAACTTTAAATTTTAAACATGAGTTCTAAAATGAAACAAAAACTAAACTTTAGATATATCTTTGAAAAAATCAAAAGTTTTGATGTTTAAACAGATCAAAATTTATAATTTAGGTGCTAAGCGTGTAATTTACCCTAAAAAATATTATCCTGTTCTACCCTCCCCCTCCCTTTGCCACAAGCTACCACCTCATTGGGCGTAATAACCGTTTACAGCACACGTGCCTTCTCTCCTTTAAGCACTGTTCATTCGACTGAAAACGCCAGCACAACCCAGTTCCTGATATTTCTACCCATTTTTTATTTTTTAATTCAATGATTAATCCTATCATCTTCCCCAAATCCCACACGTGTACCGAGTGAACCAGCCCCCTGGTTAGCACACTGGTTTCTTCCATTCCTCGTGTATATTTATGATTTCATCAAACTCGTCCCCGTACGTTGCTCCAGAGGAACAAACTTTGTTCATGTTTCATACTTCTGTCTTCCTCAGCTGGAAAATCTGAAATTCTTTCCAAGAAACCGTTCTTTTGGGAATTTTTTATTGTTCTTTAATTTATTTAACTTATTTGCTTTGGTGGGACAAAGAACACAACACCATGGGGTTGTCGAATTTCCCTAGCTCAGCCGAAGGTGTACTTCCGGTGCTGGTAGTGAACACGGTTCTCTCGGTGGCTCTGCTGAAAAACATGGCCAGATCTTTACTCCAAGTCCTGGGTTCATATTCTTCCTCGAATTTAGATATCGAGGATGGGAACCAAGTAGAAGAGACGATGAACAATGCAAAGGAGAGGAGGATATCAATAACCCAGTTCAAGTCCTTGTGCCACGACCGGTGCTCGCCGTCGTCGTCACGTGAAGGTTCGGTACCTGAAAGTGAGGCTTGCTGTGTGTGTTTGACTGGTTTCGAAGCAGACGAGGAGGTGAGTGAGTTGTCCTGCAAACATTTCTTCCACAAAAGTTGCTTGGAGAAATGGTTCGGGAACAAGCACAGTACATGCCCTCTCTGTCGATCTGTTGACTAGAATTTCTCTTTTGATTTCTTGTTAGAAGATTCGAATAACGATGTTTAATCGACTACTGAATAGATAGTTGATGTCTACTATAAACAATCTTTGGCTATACATATTTCTACATGTACACAGATATATCAGGTTGCATCAGTACTTATATAGTTAGAAGAATTGACTCGTTTTCTCTCAAACAATTTCCGGATAAAAGGAACTTGGTGTAGACATCCGTTTTTGTCCGGGTCTTTTATATTTAATTTTAATATTATTATTATTATTATTAACTATATTATTATTATTATTATTATTTAATATATGTTTGCATTTTGCAGGCCAATTCCCGGAGCCCACAAAGACAACACTTGAAGCCCAATATTGGACCCAACCCGGTTACAAGTCCAGCAGTCGGCCAACCCAACAACCAAGCGGATCCCAGATCATTGGACCCGATTTGAAACCCGAATCTGGATACTGACCCGACCTGATTGGACAACCCAAATAAATTAGGGTTTTACCCTTTTGTTTCAGCCGCATCTCTCCATGACCGTTGGATCAGATTTGATCCAACGGTCCAAATAGTCTAGATTAGGGTTTCAACCCTAATTTTCTTCCAGTTCAGCTGCCGCCGCTTATTGGCCTTCCAATTTCCCGAGTCACGTGAGCCGTCATCGATTGCTGTCGAGCCCTCTCAAGCCACATCTATCGCCCACAGTAATGTATATCCATCAAGTACCAAATCAATCAGAAAAAGCAGATAAAAATAAGGAATGAAAATATAAAGAACAACCAGAAATCCCGAGGCAATCGGGGGTTATCAATCTAGCCGAAATAGGGTATTCATACCCTATTTCTTTCTCGATGGCAGTAAGAAAATCATATCAAACATGCAAGGACAGCCATCAGCAATCAGAGGCAGAGGATAAAAGAAAGATATAGAACCAAAGTGAAGGGGCATTGGGGTGAAAAAAAAACAGAGAGAAGAACGAGAGAGTATTCGGTGAAAAAACCAGAGAAGTTCGTACAAAGAAAAAAAAGAAAAAGCTTTCGAACTAAAAAAACAAAACGTACCTTTGAGGGAGATTTGACCGTCAGTAGCTTCACCGGAGCTGTGGAACCCGTATCCTAAGGTAAGGGTTTCGTTTTGTTTTGTGGAGGGGGCTCGGTTTTAGTTTGGTGTTAGAGAAAGGCAGAGAAAAAAGAGAGAGTGTAAGGGCTTTTGTCGTGTAACCCCGTGGCCACCGATTCACGGTGGCCGGGGTTTGTGTTATACTCCTTTGGGCAGCGAAGGAAATGACGAGGAAGGAAGAGTGAAAGTCTTTTGGGGTTTAGTTCACTCCGCCGGGGAGCCTCGGGTTTCTTGTTTCGGCAAGGGAGAAGGGAGAATAGAGAGAAAATGGTGAGAACGGCTGTGGGGGGGCTTTGAAATGAGAATGGGTTTCTAAATAACCCTAAAATGAGACTATATCCCAATTTCAAAACGACGCCGTTCAATAGGGTTCAGGGAATGCTTGTTTTTTCATTTGGGATAAATAGCTTTGTAAGTCCCTTGGCATTTGTAAGGTTTCGTTTTAGCTATTAATGGATTTTCCTTTCCTTTTGACTTGGACTTCATGTTTATTCCTTGTTGCATTTTCGTCCTAATCTGTATGTTGATATTTATGATGGTGTTCCACTTTAACCTCCTTATTTGTTTCATGTATCATTTTAGTCCCTTATATTTGTTGTTATATTTATTAAATATTTAGAATTTATATGGTTAATTGTTGACAGTATTCGATTTGGTCACTTGACTATTATT